CAAGGCTTTCTCCCGCGGGGGGCCGCTATATTTAACACTGGGCAAATATTCCCAACCTGACGATCAGCAGAGGCTAAACGTTGACAACCTGACGTTAGCCCGATTTAGACAGACCAAGACAAATCTAGACGTATCTAGACAGACCTAGACAGATCTAGACAGACAAAGACAGATCTAGACAGACCTAGACAGACCTAGACTGACCGTTTGAAACGTCAATGTTTGGAATGAAACATATATCCTCTGGTTTGTTTGTCACAAAACAAAACATGTTCAGTGTGTGTGTGTGCTGAGTGCTTGTGTGTGTGTGTGTGTGTGTGTGATGAGTGATTGTGTGGTGCTGTGTACGTGTGAGTGTGTGTGCTGGGGTACGTGCAGCATGTGTACGTGTGTGAGGTCAGTCTCACTGTGTTATTTTAGGGCTGTTTATCAGAACACCTCAACACCAGACAGAGCTGAGAGAGATTCCTATGGAACTATTTTCTAGATAACACATCCCCATATGGGCTTGGTCTAAAGTAGGGGACTATATAGGGGAAAAGGGGCCATTCTCTGGGCTAAAGTAGTGCCATATTAGGGAATAGGGTGCCATTCTCTGGTCTAAAATTTGTGCACTATATAGGGAATAGGGTGCCCTTCCTGGTCCCAAAGAGGTGCACTATATAGGGAATAGGGTGCCATTCTCTGGTCTAAAGTAGTGCACTATATAGGGAAAAGGGTGCCATTCTCTGGTCCTAAAGTAGTGCACTATATAGGAATAGGGTGCCATCTCTGGTCTAAAGAGTGCACTATATAGGGAATAGGGTGCCATTCCTGGTCTAAAGTAGTGCACTATATAGGGAATAGGGGTGCATTTTTCGGTCTAAAGGTGCCTATATAGGGAATAGGGTGCCATTCTCTTGTCTAAAGATGCACATATAGGGAATAGGGTGCCATTCTCTGGTCTAAAGTGTGCTCTTATAGGGGAAAAGGGTGCCATTCTCTGGTCTAAAGTAGTGCACTATATAGGAAAAGGGTGCCATTCTCTGTCTAAAGTAGTGCACATATAGGGCTAGGGTGCCATTCTCTGGTCTAAAGTAGTGCACTATATAAGGGAATAGGGTGCCATTCTCTGGTCTAAAGTAGTGCACTATTAGGGAATAGGTGCCTTCTCTGGTCTAAAGTAGTGCACACATAGGGAATAGGGTGCCATTCTCTGGTCTAAAGTAGTGCCTATATAGGGAATAGGGTGCCATTCTCTGGTCTAAAGTAGTGCACTATATAGGGAAAAGGGTGCCATTCTCTGGTCTAAAAAAGTGCACTATATATGGAATAGGGTGCCATTCTCTGGTCTAAAGTAGTGCCATATAGGGATAGGGTGCCATTCTCTGGTCTAAAGTAGGGCACTATATAGGGAATAGGGTGCCATTCTCTTGGGCTAAAGTAGTGCACTATATAGGGAATAGGGTGGCCCTTCTCTGGTCTAAAGTAGTGCACTATTTTGGAATAGGGTCCATTCTCTGGTCTAAAGGGGGCACTATATAGGGAATAGGTGCCATTCTCTGGTCAAAAGTAGTGGGACTATATAGGGAAAGGGTGCCATTCTCTGGTCAAAGGGAGGGGCACTATATAGGATAGGGTTTCCCCTTCTCTGGTCAAAGTAGTGCACTATATAGGGAATAGGGTTTCCATTCTCTGGTCTAAAGTAGTGCACTATATAGGGAATAGGGTGCCATTCTCTGGTCTAAAGGAGTGCACTATATAGGGAATAGGTGCCATTCTTGGTCTAAAGTAGTGCACTATATAGGGAATAGGGTGCCATTCTCGGTCAAAGAAGTGCACTATAAGGGAATAGGGTGCCATTCTCTGGTCTAAAGTGTGCACTATATAAGGGGAAAAGGGGGCCATTCTCTGGTCTAAAGTAGGGCAATATATGGGAATAGGGTGCCATTCTCTGGGGCAAAGTAGTGCACTATAAAAGGGAATAGGGTGTCATTCTCTGTCTAAAGTAGTGCACTATATAGGGAATAGGGTGGGCCCTTCTCTGGTCTAAAGTAGTGGACTAATAGGGAATAGGGTGCCATTCTCTGGTCTAAAGTAGTGCACTATGTAGGGAATAGGGTGCCATTCTCTGGTCTAAAATAGTGCACTAATAGGGGAAAAGGTGCCATTCTCTGGTCTAAAGTAGTGCACTATATAGGGAATAGGGTACCATTCTTGGTCTAAAGTGTGCACTATATAGGGAATAGGGTGTATTTGGGATGCAGCATAGACGTCCAAAGGGGGCTATTGATATATTTGTGAAGGACACGGACAGGACGACAGACAAGGGTGAAAAGGCAAGACGAATATTTAATGCCTTTGAACTGGCATGTAGTAGGTGCAGTGCACCGGGTTGTGTCAAGAACTGCAAAGTGCTGGGTTTTCACTCAACACTCTCCGGTGTATCAAGAATGGTCCACCACCCAAAGGACTCGTCAACTTACACAACTGGGAAGCATGCGCCCACCGGTTTGGGCTA